AGAGCTGACATATGGCAATGCCAAGCCCTTTGTCTTCACACAGGGGCACTCAGTGTGTAACCGCTCCTTCTTCCCCTGCTTTGACACCCCTGCAGTGAAATGCACCTACTCAGCTACTGTCAAGGTAAGGGATGCCTGTGAATGGTTTATGGGGCTCTTAGTTGCTGTTAACCTGTGAAAGTGTCGTTACATCATGTATTTTTATCAGCTTGCATCTGCTAAAAATATTGTGATTCAGTGTTATAAAGAATACTGAATTTTTTAGGTCCAGTTCTGGTTCTTGGGCCAGAATCAGGGTAGTGCCACTAAGGTAACTCTGTTGCCTACCATTCTTGAGTCTTGCCTTCCTTGTACTCAATGTTGAAAGAGTAATTGTGAAATAAAAATATGAGAGAGAATTTGGCTGGCCCCTTCCAGTAGGGGTTACTGATGATAATACTCAACTGTATTGTACCAATTTTTGAAGGAAAAAACCTGAAGTCTTTTGAAATCACCATCAAATAATGTTGCATTTTGTATAGATGAAATAATTTAATATGTAGGTGCTTTTGGGGCAGCTGGCATGTAGGAGGAGTAATATCTTTCACTGGTATGTTTTCATGTATTGGGTAAATTGTGGTATAAAACCTCACAGAAATCTTCTATTTTGTGTTATGTAAATGATTATTTTTAATATACATCATCAAGCATAGATGAAAATGAACCAGAGATCTGTGGTTCAGTCATTCAGCTGTGATCATCTGGTGAGTTGATGTGTATGATGATGGTCTTCCAGGCTCCAGCAGGCATACAGGTGTTGATGAGTGCCACCCAAAGTTCCTACCTAGAAGAGGAAGGTGTATATCAATTTTACATGGAATATCCAGTTCCTGCTTATCTAGTGGCCCTGGTGGCTGGAGACCTCATACATGCAGACATAGGTCCAAGGTAAGATTTGCAGTGGGTTCATTCTGCATTTTATGTCTCTGTACAGTGCCTCATACTGTAAAGTAGCAAGGATGTTGAGTCATTGATAAGGCAACAGTTGGGTTCATGAGCTGTGAGCACAGGGAGAGTTTGAAGTGTAGTTGGGTATAAAGAAATTCATGGCACTGCACTGGCAAAGTTACATTCCTCTTTCATAAATATTTCCTACTGTTCCCCTGAAGTTATTACAGCTGCTTTCTTGTTGCCTTGTTGAAGGGATTTTTGGTTGCCTCTTGTCATGTTCCATGGAGCATTAGTCTAGGAGGGTCCGGGTTTGATGGGAGGTCTCCTTGCTCTATTACCATACATGGAAGTGTGGTAAGCAGTCAGGCTATTTTTTTTTTGTCTAAGAGATAATTCAGTTTGCTGAAGTATCACCTGATGTTTTCTGTTTTCTGACAGGAGCAGAGTGTGGGCAGAGCCTTGCCTGCTGCCAACAGCCATCAGCAAGCTTTCTGGCATTGTTGAACGCTGGTTGACTGCTGCAGAGAGTCTGTATGGCCCCTATATATGGGGAAGGTGAGTTTTATCAGTCTTCTGGGAAAGTGCAATGGGAACAAATCAAAACAGTATCGAGAAATGATCATGCTTTCTCCCTATAGCAGGGCAAACTAGGATTTCAACTGGCAGCATTGTAGCAGTTGAAAACAGACTCTGGAGTTTTGTCCAGAGTGGCAGGAAGGACCATGGAGATTTTTTAGCTGGTTTGCAGTGTTAAGATCCACTGTTTAGAAACCTCCAGTTCAAACTGGAGGTTTCTAAACAGTGGATCTCTCCTGAGGAATGAGGGCTTTTCATACTACAGTGTCTTGTGATGTAAGTCCAGCATGGGCCAGACACCATTTAAAATGTATGGTTGTTTTATTTATGTCATTTACTTCTGCATTTATTGTGGCATGCCTGAGAATACTGAAAATCTCAGTACAGACTTATTGAGAGTCCAAGTCCCCCAAACCAACATTAATAGCTCTTGAATAGCTTGAGTATGTATTAAAAAAGAATGGCTTTGAGAGAATACTCACACTCTTTGGATGGGAGAAAATTTTTACAGAGGCTTCCTATATTTCTTTGCTAAACGTAAGCAGGAAGATTGCCTTGTTGTTGATTTAACAAGTATTGTTTGAAATAATCTGAGAACATGACCCAGTGTGCCAGTGCTGATCACTGGTAAAGAAATTTAGAAAACAAAACAAATACTACTGTTGTGTTCCAAAGCAGACAGATTAAAGTTATTTTGCTGACACTGCATATGTAGGAAATCAATTCAGTCATTGACAGCTTCCTAGCCTCTCTCTTTCCTGGGAGCCTCTGGGGACTCAACACCATGTTATACTACTGTATATAGTGCAAACAGTTTTTGTGGCTCCCAGATACATAACTTGTGATGAGTGTGTGTGTGAAGGGAGCAGAATGCTTCTGGGATGCGCTGCATCCACTGCACATCAAAAGACTGTCAAGTCTTTACGTCCAAACATAAGCAGGCCCTTGGCCAACAAAATAAGTTGTGATCCTCTGATCAGAAGAATTAGGCACCACTGGTCTAGAAAGTTTGTTCCTGAAGTTAAAAGAAGTCTCAGAAGAGCCTTCCCTAAAGAAAGAAAAGTGTTACTGTATCTTCTGAAAAAAGAAAGTGTTACTATGTGTCTTCTGGCTGCAATTTACTCATCTCCTTTCTTCTTTCTTTCCCTAATTTTAGATACGACATTGTTTTTCTTCCTCCTTCCTTCCCTATCGTTGCCATGGAAAACCCATGCCTGACCTTCATAATCTCTTCCATTCTGGAGAGCGATGAGTTTTTGATCATTGACGTCATTCATGAAGTTGCCCACAGCTGGTTTGGGAACGCGGTCACCAATGCCACGTGGGAGGAGATGTGGCTGAGTGAGGGCCTGGCCACCTACGCGCAGCGCCGGATCACCACCGAGACCTATGGTACAGCTGCAGAAACTTCTCCCTGTGCTCCTGCTTACCATAACTCAGAGCTGCCTGCTTGGGGTGTTTGCCTTGGACGCTCAGAAGTCTGTAGGGAGCTGGTTTTCAGTTAGGTTTTGTTTTATTTCTGGAACACACACCTACACACAGCCCCAAACTTCGTGTTGAACATCTTGCATACTTAGAGTTTGACGTTATCTTGGCTTTAGTGGGCTCAATACCTGATGTGGTACCAGAGGCTTTGAGTGAGGCATGTTAGCAAAATCCTGTGGGGACTTGGAACTACTAAGTTGGTGCTGTTAGGTACCAGGCATGTGCTGATATGCCAGAGCAAGGTGAGCAGAGGATGCTTCAGAGAAAGATGTAAGAAATCTTGTCACAATTACATTGTGAAATAACCATCCTCTGAAGAAGTATCCTTTTAATTCTGATAATTAGTTAGTAGCTACCTACTGTTAAAAAGAAGGATGAAAGTTGCATTAAAAAAAATGTGCAGATTTATGTAGCTGTTTATATGCTGGAGTCCTCCTGCAGGATTGTAAACCCTGCCATTGCTTGTGTCAGTGAATTTCACAGGTCAGTTTTATGTTGCTGTCTTTAGAATACATAAGTAGTAAATTATTCCTCTTTCTTTTAATTGGCTTATTATTGAAGTGAATAATGGGAATGTATGCTTTTATAGCTTGTCCTGTTATGTTCTTAAAAGCCAGTTCCATGTGTTTTCTCAAGCATCCATTGTAAACAATCTTAGAAAAGTTCCTAGAAATCTTGACAGCAAAAATGTTTAGAAGAAAGCATTTGTTTTTATTCATGTATCTTGTTTTTGGACATGAACTGGTGACAAGCTTAGGCAAACAAGTGCTCTGAGCATCTATGTAGATCTTTCCCTGTGCAATTCTTTAGTAAGCTCTTTCTCCATTCTATTTTGTTTCTAAGACAAACCTTTGATCTAAATCTTACCATTTCTGACATAATTTCTGGAGTATCTTCTGTTGATAGTAAACAGGCATTTTTGTAATGATATGGTTTAGGGAAATTTGAGTCCACTGACTACCACTTCTCTTGGCTCTTGCTTATTTCTCCTCTCTGTAGGTTGAAGTAATTGCCCTTAACACTAGTTACTCTAGTTCTTGCTTTCCCCTGGGAAGCACTTCTATTTCTTTCCTGCTCATTCTCCTGTTTTCCAAACATATCCTGGTTCTTAATTCACATTTGGCTATGTAGGATTCGAGTGTTACATTGAGTTTCTGAGGTTGTATCTATGTAACAAACCCTATCTTCAGGTTAAAAACTCAGCAAAAAAGGCTAAAATTTAATAACTATGGATATTAAGAATCTTCTGAATCTGAAAATCCATTTTTTGCAGCTGCTAATGTCTGCAAGAGCATGGGAAAGATCTCTTGACTTGGCAGTGTAATACAGCTAGTTTGGTTTGAAAGCATGGAATGCTCTACATTGCAGTTAGGGAGGAGTAGCTTACCCAGTCACAACTGTAAAAAGTCCTAATGAGAGGACGGTGAAATACTTAGGGCAAAAACCAGGTAGGATGATAGATAAAGCTTAAAAAATACACACAGAATCTGTAATACAATAACCAAATCCAATTCTTTTCTCTTTCCACTCAAGAGGTGACATTTAGTAATATCCTTGTCACTGAGTATGGGATTATGTCTACTATTCTACCAGTGAGAGTATGTTTTTGTAGCACTTGACTGCTCCCTGAAAGTTATCTGTACAATACTTTTTTCAGCGCTGCTCTCCTTCTCTTGCAAGAGCTGATGATATGATGTCAAGGATGCAAACTTTAGCATAATTTTCATGCTGTTTTGGTTTCCAGTACAACCTGATGCATGATCAGAGTGAGGAAATACACTGGGTTAGGCTCTGACTTCCATTACTAATTACAAGGATGTTCTGCACTCAAGTTTCTCTGCCATTACATTGCTGTGATTCTGTTTCACTGTTCTGTCTTTTGCACGTGCAGCAGCTTTTAGTTTGTTCCTGTGCCAGTCCTGCACAGATCAGCTTTTGCTGATCATTTTCCCACAACTAACAAATTACTTTCTGGGGTAGGAGCTGCCTTCACATGTTTGGAGACTGCATTCCGCCTCGATGCTCTCCACAGACAGATGAAGCTCCTTGGAGAAGACAACCCGGTCAGCAAGCTTCAGGTTAAACTGGAGCCAGGTATTGCTTTTGGTTGAGGCTGCTTTGCACAGAATTATACACCTCTGTATATCCAGGGTGGAATATTGACAAGAAATGACTAATATTTATGTATCCTTTATGAAAAAAAATTAAAAAGAAAGAAGTATTGGTTTGTAAACCAGTCTAAAAACAAGTAAGGAAGCTTTGCTTTCAAGCTTTTATCAAGGTTGGATAACTCATCTTTATAGACATTGTTCTGTGTAAGAACAGACTTACTGAGTAGAAAGAATATGAAAAACTGCCTTGAAAGCTATGTGGGTTTGAAATTTTGGATATATAAAATAAAGTATTTTAAAATGGGAATATTTGGAAACATAATATAAAATCCTCTGCTATTCAATGTTCCTCTCTATGTATTCATGTAAGAAGTATGTATGTATTTAGCATGCAGATAAACAGGTATTTGCTTTGAGCTGTGCAGAGGCTGTTTGGTTATTCCCTGAGCCAGATGCATGACTGCACTCCAGATTTACCCACTCCTTCACTCATAGTTCTCTAGTTCTGTGATCACAGTTGGGTGGGTGATCTTCTATCTAGATGATATTTAAAACAACCTAAAATGCAAGTGAGATTATATTGGAGTCAAATGGAATAGAAAAACATATGTGAGAGCCTCAGGAAAGGAGCAAGGGGTTATTACCTTTTATTGATATCTTTGAAAATTTGTGGTGTGGTGAATCCCAGAACCTGAAAAAAGAAAGAAGGATTTTTTTTCAAGTTCCAGATCTGTTTTCAGTGATCTCTAGTTTGAAGTGACTTATTCCATTGGGAGTTGCTACTTACCTTACAATGCTTGATTAAAAAAAAAAAAAATTATTTCAGGCTGTGCCTTTGGACTGCATCTATTTATTTACTGCAGTAACTTAAATGTAGTGACAACAAGATTAGGGGTTTTTTTAAGTCACTATGTCTCACCTTGGTGATCTCTAAGGAGTATGTATAACTCAGAAGGGCTGGAAATCACTCTCCTCATTAGTTTCTTCTCATGTTGTCTTCTTTCAGGTGTAAATCCCAGTAATTTAATGAACCTCTTCACCTATGAGAAAGGCTACTGCTTTGTTTACTACCTGTCCCAGCTCTGTGGTGACCCCAGACACTTTGACTCCTTCCTAAGAGTGAGTATAAATATGTGTTTTCTTGAGATTTAGAGCTTATTTTTTTGTTGGTGTTTGCATTTTTTCCCTGAGATTCTTTCACTGTGGCTAATTGTTAAGGGTAAAGTTGAATTCAAGTGTGTCAGAGATGGAGAAAAGTTGTGGGCCTGTCTGTCAACCTACATGAATCTTTCTACAAGATTTCTGAGATTCTGAGCTGATGAGGTGCTAGATACAGAGTAGTGGTATATATTTGTTATCTCCTGTTCTGTCCTCCAAGTAATTAGAAAGCTGTTCAGCACAGATTGCCTGTGACTGGAAAGATGTGACTACTAAGAAGTGTTAACTTGTGTGTTTTTATCTAGGGAGACGAAGGGAATGGGTTACTATATTGGGGCAGGTTGGTGCCTGGAAGCACACTTGCAAAACCTATAGAAAATTGTCAGCTACTGCCTTGTTTTGAAAAGGAAAATTAAATGATACTCAGCTGTCAATGTATTTGCAGCTATTAATTTTTTTTTTTTCATATTATGGTGCTTTTTTATTTAACTGGGTGAGGAGGGAGAATATTTTTCTTCAATTTTTTTTAAGTCTTCAAGTAATTGTTCCTCCTCATGCTTGTATTTTTTTTGTTGTTGTTATTATTGTGGCATGCAGTGATTCTACATCAAAAGGAAGCTGTCTTGCTCCTAATCATAATTTGAATGTTTTACTATTTTAGGCCTACATTGAGAAGTATAAATTTACCAGCGTCGTGGCTCAAGATCTTCTGGATTCCTTCCTGAATTTTTTTCCAGAGCTGAAAGAGCAATGTGTTGAGAGCAAAGCAGGTAGGAGATTTACTAAGTTAACTGTAAGCACTGTAGAAAACCTGGACGATGAATTCTGTGTCTTGGCTTGGAGGATGCACAGGAAAATGCTAAGGCCAACAAAATAGTTCAGCAACAACCAGGTGTTCTTGACAGAATTTGTGGTTGCTGCTTCTACAGTGGGGAATGAGGACCTCTGAAATTCCTGATGATTTTGGCATTAATTAACTTTCTTATTAACTCACCTTTCACTCTATAGACAGAATGATCAGTGCTTGTGAGATTTACACATGCTTAAATGGAGGGAAAAGGTGAACACACTTTGAAATTTCACCTATTTTAATAACAGAAAACATGCTTTGAGAACTATAACTTCACCAAGATCCTACCCATACATATAAAATCTCTTCCAGAATGTTTCACTTTCCCCTATATCCACTATTTATAGCTGCTGGTGGATTTGTGGAAGGTCTGTGGCCTACCAGGTGCTTATTATCTCACTTTCTTAAAGGAATGAGACTGATGTTATCCTGCCATATGTCCATCCCTGTGAATAGCTATTGATCCCATTGGACAGTTTAAACCAGACTGGCAGAGTACAGCTCTTAAGGATACTGGGTGCCTGCAGGCTTTGTGGAAACTGCCTGTGGAGACGTGTAGATGAGACAGTTTACTGTGGAAAAAGCTGCAGCATGAGCTCAGCAGTTCTGTGTTTTATTTGGCCCACTGTAGGCTAATGAGTTAACCACAGAAGCTGCTAATTTTTGCCTGGCTAATATTCAGGGAATGCAGAAGGTAGGACTTTTAGTGTAGATGGTGTGGAACAGGAAGTATTGCCGAGGGTTAGGAAAGTACAGAGGTGGTAAAAGGTCAAGAGGAAGACCTCTGCTGGAAAGCAGGCTCTGCTGCTTGTGAAGAAACTTTTTCTTTTAATTAGTTGTTTAAATAAATGTAAATTGCTTGGATTTACTGGTGGGTAGGAGGAGTTTAGTCAGCCATCTCACCTCCTTTTTTTTTATTAAGTGGGTTTTCTCCATATTTGTCACTCTTCCTCAAAATTCTGAGAGAGAAATGCAGGCAGACAAATATTAGAGCATAATTTGAATATAGGTACTTGTCAGCCTGACTGCCTTAAGAGCATGTGTATTTCTTGTATTTACTGTACTGTTGAACTCTAGAAAACTCACATTGAGGTTTGGAGCAGTGTTGCTGGCACTCTTCCAGGTGTTCCATAGGTTATCCCAATGAGGCTGCTAAGACTGTTGTGTCACTGTAACTATTGGTTGCTGTTGTTAGAACCTTCCTTAACTATGCTAGAAGCAGTCCTGAACTTTGAGACAGCCAAGCCACCTGCAGAGATCTCTGCTCCACATTTTTTGTGCTCCTCATTCCAGGACTGGAGTTTGAACGTTGGCTCAATGCTACAGGACCTCCGTTAGCTGAGCCAGACTTATCTCAGGGATCCAGTCTGACCAGACCAGTGGAGACACTCTTCAAACTCTGGACCACAGAGCCTCTGGACTCTGTTGCTGCTGCCAGCAGTGTTGACCTCACTAAATGGAGAACGTTCCAAACTGTGCTTTTCCTGGACAGATTGCTGGATGGATCACCACTGCCACATGGTGAGTACTCTTTCCAAGACAGTAGAAAATTATCCCTGGAATAATTGGTTGAATTCTAAAGATTCCCGCCTCTGGTTGACATTATAATTCATGTAAAGTCAGGTTGATGCCCCAGCCCATGCCACAGAGGGATTGAAACAGGTGATCTTCAAAAGTCTTTCCCAGCCCAATGGATTCTATGATTCTGTGATTTTATCAGTTGTTATTATCTCATGATCCTCAAAATTGACAAAATAGGTCACAGCTCTTTCTCTGTGTATGTGCTCTCTTCAGAGGTGATAAAAAAGCTCTCGGAATGTTACTCCTCTCAGCTGGACTCCATGAATGCAGAAATCCGTATCCGCTGGTTGCAGATTGTAGTCCGAAATGACTATTATCCAGACCTTTACAAGGTCCGTCGCTTCTTGGAAAACCAGGTACTAACTGCTGGATTAAACTCACTGCACCTCTCAGTGCATGAGACATGTGCATGAGACATGCGACGTGAAAGACCTTGGAACTTCTGCTTCCTGGCCAAGTGTAGCCCAGGTGTGTTGCGAAGGGGCTGAGCATGGCTCACCTGCTAGCGGTGGGGAGGAATGGGCAGATTTAATTTCAAATGCCTACAGATAATCTCTGCTTTTCTAGCCTGACTCCATACCTTTGTCCCAGCTCTGCCCCATGCATTTTATGTATTGCTTTGTAGCAGCCCTGGCTTTTCCAGACCACAAGTTTTTGCACTACTAAATCGTGTGATTATTTGGATATTTACACTTCAAGCAAGGCTAGGGCTCGTTGAATTCTTTTCAGTAGTTGTTATTGTGCTGGAGCAAAAGGTTAATGCATGTGTTCAGTGTGGCCTCTTCTATTTGGCCTTTAAAAATAGTTCTGTTATTTGTGGAAGTAGCTCAGTCTCAGAGAGCAGATTTTTTTATTACCATTATTAAAAAACTTTGCATCAGACTTAGAATAGAGTCATCTGTCTTTTGAAGAAATGTGTTGCTTGTCTCCAGTCTGAAGTTAGTCAGGGCTGTTGGAGCTGTAGCTGTAGAAGAGCTGAACTTCTTGACTTTATTGAAGTGTTTATATCTTGTTTTCCTTTTTTGTAGATGTCTCGGATGTACACAATTCCACTTTACGAGGACCTTTGCACTGGCACTCTCAAGTCTTTTGCCTTAGAAATTTTTTACCAGACCCAAAACCAGCTGCACCCCAATTTGCGAAAAACGATCCAACAGATCTTATCCCAGGGCTTGAATCCACTTCCTGCCATAGACACTACAGCAGTCACTACAGACACACCAGCAATGGTGCTTGAGGACAAAGTCTCAGAGGCCACAAATGGTGCCATTTCACTCAGGGATGTCAACGTGTCTGCTTAGATCACCAGTTCATGCCAGCCACGAAGCTTGAAAATGGGGACAGGAACAGAGGAAAGATAACAAAGCGTTGCCTCCTTTCCCTCAGCCTTGCAGCTGCAGTGTGTTGTAACTGGATTTCTCTCCCAAAACACAAAGCAAATGTGCCTTCAAGTATCCAGTGTGTAATACTGCCAGATTTCAGAGATCTCCACCAGCTGTGTGACAAGTATTTTGATTCAGTTTTTACTGGCCAGGAACTCCTGGGCTGTTGCTTCTCCATGGATAGTGGATTGTTCGCTTTCCTGAGGCTCCTCTGGACGGTTTCTTCAGATTTGTTTAGTGGGAGGGTGTTCTTTTTCTTCTAATTTTTTCCTTTTTTTTGTCTGAGGCCACTGAGGCTGTGGAGTATGTCTTACTTGCTGTGTGTATGTTGCTGGGGTGTGTGTATGTGTCAAGCTGTCATTGTTCTAATATTTGGGCTAAAGTTCTGCAAAGGAGAGACTCAGGAATTGTTAGTGGCAGCAAACATGTTTTCATGTTATGCTCCTTCCTGTGACAGAGGTGTTGTGATTTGGGAGGAAGGGGTCTAATGCTTAAATGAGAAACTAATTTTAAATAGCTCCTGTTCCCCCCTGCCCATAGGTGGCTAAATAATAATAATAATAATAATAGTAATAATGCTCTTTATATATATATAAAAATATAAAAAAGAACAGGGAAACATTATGATGGATTTGAAATCCTTCTGTAGTTAACCCTACCTTCAGTTTTCCCTTTGCACTCAATGGGACAAGCAATAAAGAAATGTGTAGGCTTGAATTTTCAAAGAAGTTAAAATTACATTCCCAAATGCTATCAATTCTGGCACTAACTATGCCTAAATCTTTTTAACTGTTTTGACAAGTCTAGCTGCAGCCTTTGCTAGTGTGTCAGGATGTGTGGCACATGCATCAGATGCATTCTATATATATCCTATTCTGTCATTTTGGAGGAATTACCAAGACCTATAATTTTTTTAAGATCCCAGCATATCTTGGCCTGTAGGTCAGCTATGAAAATATCCATGCTAAGATTTTACCACCTTGAATAATGTTTGCCTGAATAACAGTGGCCCTGTCATACAATAGTCTTGAGGGAAGCACCATCTTTCTTGATGTGAAACTTTTAAGTCCCACTTTACCCAAGTCTGTTTTCTGACTTAGGGTGGGAGTAAGGTGCCATTTCATTTCCCTGGCATGCTATTTCTCTGGATCACTGGCCAGCCATGCAGGATGGGAAGACACTGTCTTCCCTCTGTGCTGTTTGGTCTCAGGTAGCCAAGGGCAAAGTGTCCTGGGGGTATTGCAGAGTACAGGTGATGGTTCTTAGACTGTGCCACAAACTTTTTAACATGTGGGTACCTGTGTGCTGTCTGTGAGCTCCCACAAGGCATCTCTGAGCTGATGCATCACCAGCATAGTATGAACAAAAGGCAAAACATATGGAAAAGACTCGGCTAACAGAGATGCGAGAGAGAAATTGTTTTATATTTCAGGGCAAATTTTTGCCCTGCTATGGGGATCTGCATAGACAGGAAGAGGAGGAAATTTGGAAGGGCTTTTTTTTTTCTTCACCAGAAGTATCTGTTTACACCCATGTGTGGATGGGGACTTAGGTGCTGTTACTGGATCTGCATTTTCTGGCTTTAAATGAATTTGGACTTCACCATAGCCTTAGCCTGGGCTGAACTGGGATAAAGCAATAATAAACTCAGGCCTCTGTAGTGCTTCATTAGTTTTAAAAATGGGCCATCAGCATTTTTGAGCTTCAGAACTCCAAGCTCTGCTCTTTGCTCCTTGAATGGGATTATCTTTTAAATTCTGTTTTGTTTTCCCAGAAAGGATGGCGAATGATGTTTTCTACACCAATCTCTTTCCTTTTCATTTGTTGCTCTATCGAAAGAGATTTGTACAAGCTGACTTTACACTTCCACAGTTGCCGCTGTTGGTGCTGCATCTCCTGGACCCCACTGCCAGCAGCAGCAGCCTGGTCGAGACCAGGAACCACTAGCATTTTTTGGAATCACGGGCCTCTGTTTTAACATATTTTATTTAGTGGGAGAATGTTTGTGAGCCTGGTGGGAATTTTTCATTTACATGGATGCCTTATGATGATTGTCAAATTAAACTAAGCTTTGTGACAAGTTCAGCCTTTCGGGCAGTTTTTTGGCGTCCCTGCTCTAGCTGTGTGGAAGAGCTAACTTGGTACATTGTCTTTGTTTTGTCCTTTTCTGGTGTGCAGCATAGAGGGGAGTTTGGAAGCTCTTTCAAAGCCGCACAGGAAGATGCTGGAGAAGTGGCAAAAGCAAACAGTCAAAAGTAAATATTACCTGTTGTTACTAGAACTGACTGAAATACATCAGATCAGCTCTGTGTTTACATAGACACCCATCAGAGCAAGGAAATGCTGGCTGAAGTGAACAGACTGTTTCCTGGCTAAAGAACACAAGATGTAAGTTAGTGTTTCTGCTCTCATCTCTGTGAGATCCCATCAAATGGCTTTTGACCTAGGACTTGTTTTCTGAAGCACTGAAGCAAAGCAAGATTTTTTGAAAGTATTCCATGCATCCACCTCCAGGTACTTCTGTTTCTCCTGTGAGTCAGGAGTGCATTTTTTATTTTGTAGAGACAAAAAACTGGCAGCAACTTTGTGGAGATAAGCCTTCCTTTCGTTGACAGAAAATAAATTGGTGCTTCAGGCTACTTGCTGTCTTGATTTGTAGTAGACTTCACATTGACAGGCAAATGAGACTGTGATTAAATAGCAACTGTCTTATCTTTGGTACATTCATTTCTGATCCATTTAAATCAGATTAGACATCAAATCAGTTTTATTCAAACCGATGCCAAGAGATTGGGTTATCTTTTTTTATTTTGAAAATGAAAACTATTACTTTATTTCATTGCAGCTTTGAGCAGGGCAACAGAGGATCTAGAAATATCACTTGTGGGAAAGCTCTGAAGAGCCAAACTGTTTAATAGAATGGAGTATTTCTGACTTGATTTTTTAGCATTTCATAGCCACATTGGTTGATACATTCAATATAATTCTTGCTACCTACAATATCCTCTGTTAAGCTTGTATCAGTAGTTTTGGCATCATGTTACATGGCAACATTTTAACCACAAACTCTATCAACCAAGAACAATTCTATTAAGCAACCCAAACATTCTGTTTCAACTGAAACTCTTTGATGTCCTTCCACTGCAGTGACCTTGGCCATTACCTTTTTTGGATAACACAGGACCTTCTGTACATCTAAGCTCATGTGCTGCACAGTTCACTTAGGTCACTTCTTCAGTCTGCTCTCTCTGTTTGTCCAAAGATAAAACAACACAGTACAGTCAACACACTAAAATAAAGTCACGCTTCTTTTCACACTTTTTACTATAGATTGATAAAAGCTGAAAGCCACTTTGACCACAGTATCAGACTTGGTGAAAAGAGAAACCATACTAGAAATCGATCACTGTGTGAGATTTATCAAGCCACTGTCCTCTGAGACACAGAATTTTTGTCAGTTGTGAGGTCAGTTTTACACTGATTTTGTTGAAGACCCAAGAAAATTGGTTAAGCTGTTGATTACATGCATTCCTGGAATGCATACCTAATGTCTAGTTTGGATTTGTCTACTTTTATCTTCCAGCTCTGGAAACTACTGCTTTGTTTGTGAAAGTTAAACTACTTACTCACATATAAACTACTTACCTCTTTCTCATGTAAGTAGTTTTTAATTCTTAAAGAAAACAGATTGATTGGTCTATTGCTGCCAGCTGTCTTCTACACCTTCGTGTATTCATTTTGCTTGGGTGGAGCATGATGTTTCAATATCCTTTTAAAGTGGAAATTGCACATTGTTTCTCAAAAAATACCTCGATTGCTACTGTATATTCCACATCAACTTTAAAAGAATTTTTTACAAATATTGTCCATTCATCCTGTTTTTTTCCATTAATAACAGTAGTAATTTGGGCACCTGTTAGCATATATCTTAACCGCACATGAGAACCTTTTTAAAGATAAAGGAGGGTAGAGAAAAGCTATTCCATATTCTGGAGGTGACTTTTCACTCTATACAGAGGGATAGTAGCTAGTTGCAATAAATGATTGAGCCTGTGTGAACACTTCTCTTTAGTCTTCTTCCTGCATGTACCTTCTGCACTGGAAAACTCAGGTCTTAGACCTCTGATTTCTTGTCCAGAGAATTATGATTGTGTTGAACATAATATGCTCTGTGTCCAACAAGGAAGGTGTTCTAATATACTAGAGACAAGTCTTTCTCTAAAAATGGAATGGCATTAGTGGGGTTTGCAGAGCACTAGACCCTTTTCCAAAATCATATTTACTGAGGTGCATCTTGTGTGGTGTGGTACCCCGGCTGGAAATTTGGGGTTGTGCTTTACCTCTGTGTGCCTGAAGTAATGAGAGAGGTCTAGAACCCCAAATACCCACTCCAAAATCTCCCTTAAGCAAAAAGACACTCTGCTGTCCCTTTGATACAGCTCTGACCACTAGCAGCTAAGTATTGCTCGTGCCTTCCTAATCCTAGAATCAGGATTCAGAGAATTGGAAGAGCTGCCTTGTGAACAGCTTCCATGTGTCAGCATTTGCAGAAACAAACACACACATTTGGCCCAGCCAGTGCTGCTCAATTACTTTTACTCCTCTCCCTGTCCTTGAACCACTGGGAGTTGGAGACAAAAGCAAACATGGAATTGATGAAACCCCAATACTGGCAAACAACCATGAAAATGTCAAACACTATTCTAAAGGATCATCTTCATTCACATGGAAATGAGCTGGTTATTAAGCTGGACACAAATCCCTTTTAAATTTCTATAGCAATGGGATTCAACCCCTCTCAGTCTTCTTTCTTCCTTTCCAATGAGAAATGAAGCACCTACATTAAAGTGTACTGAGAAACAGGTTGACAACAAGGCAAGTTTAATTTTGTCTTAAAATATTATCTTCAAGACATTCTGTCTAAATAGACCTGTGTTTTATCTTCAGGAACAGTTTAATCCAGCAGGGTTGCCAAGAGGCAACAGGGAAAGTTCTCTGCTGTTCTCATTCCCAAGAGTTTCAGGTTAACAGAAAAAAAAAAAAATTCATCAATTGCATACAGTATTAATTTACCCCTTGACAACCTTGCAGTTGGGCAGAGAAAGCATGTCAGGTATCTGAGAGACCAAGGTACTTTTTCTAATAGCTTCATAAATAAATAGGTATTTAACTAATTAATTGTTTTAGTCTGTATCTCCTGTATTTACAGTTAGAGCTCAACATTTATCCTGCTTTCTAGAATTGGTCCTCTAATGGAATTTATGCAGTTGTGTGATTGCTGTTTCCTAAAGAATGCAGGGGTGAAATCACACAGATCAGAGCCTCACTGTTCCTGACACAGAGGCCTTTTTTTCCCCTTTCCCTCCCCCAACAGAGCTCTCCTGTGTTGCTCACTTGCAGCCACGCAGCTGCAGCTCCCTCGCATGAGCCGTGGACAAGAGGGTTATTCTTACTGCCAGCAGTGTTTCCTCTGCTCCCGAAAGGGTCAAAACTCCAATGTGAAAAGTCTCATTTGTTGGTTAAATTTGCAGTATGCAGGGGACAAGCCTTGTGTCTGTACAACGGGCACGACCAAGGGGCAGAGACCCTATTTCTGAATGTCGGGGGGCGAGGGGATAGACAGCAGCTGCAGTTACCTGAGAGCATTTCCATCTGCTAAGGTTGGCTTGAGAGAAGGATTTCTGCATTAATGTCTGATAAAAACCAGTCAGGCCTGTGTTTTCTTGTGGCTCTCTCGCTCAGACGTCCTCTCTACCCAAGGACCAGGTGACCTTGGACTAAAACACATCATCACAGACAAGTGCGATGGCAGATTTTTTGGTAAACACCTCATCCTTCCACAGTGGCTCAGCAGCTTCTTTATTGACCACACCTGAGCTCCTTGAGGAACACTGGTGTGAAAGGCCCAAACATGAAAAAAAAAACCAAATCAGCCTCCTTCAGTGTGCCCTGAAAGCCAAAACCTTGGTGTGCTGAAGGGCAGCCTTATTACTGCATTTCTGTTCTTTGTTCCTGAGCTAGAAGTATTTTAAGGAACTTTTTCTATTTCACTGGTCAGCGGTAGCTATCCGAATATAGAAATTAACATATCGCCTTTGACGGTTCAGCCCGTGGACGACTATATGGTGACAAACTATCCGAAAATGTGATCTGTGCCGTTATGTCAGGAGAGCACTCGATGAGGGCCAGCAATTTCTCTGCGTTTCTCTGTCCAATCTTCACGAAAACACTTTGGATTAATTTTCCTCCGCCTGTAGGAGCCCGTGCCCCTCAGGAGCAGTTTCCCATTTCCCCCGGGAATTCCCGGCCGGGGAGCCCCGCGCACCCCCGGGACCCCTCTGCTCCCCTCAGCCGGGGGGCGCGGCCAACGCACGGCGCGCGCGCAAGTGGCGTCTGCTGATTGGCCGGCGGCGCCGTCCGTCAAGTGCGGGCTGGGCGGGGCCGCGCGTGCCGGCGTTGCCGGGTAACGGCCGCCCCGGGCAATGGCGGCGGGGCCGCCCCGCGGTGAGGGGGATCGGGAGCGGGGCCGGCCGGGCCGGCACCTCTTGTGGGGACGGGCGGTGGTGGGCAGGAGGGGCCCTGTTCGAGCTGGGTGTGAGCAAAGGGGTGGTGGTGGGGAGCTTTGTGTGGAGAGTGTACGCAGAGAGGGGTAAGGAACATGAGTGGGTGTAGGTCTCCTCAGAGACCCCTGCACTTCCAGCTGAGCGGTGTCGGATGGCGTCAGGTGCTGGAAGAATTCAGCACTGTGGTGGTTCCAAGTGCTCGGTGATACAGCGAGAGGCTGTCCATCCCTAAATAAAGCCGCCATGCCTGTTTGTTTCTCTGTTGCAATTCCCCGGTAACACTTGCTTCTGTTGCAGGTTGGTGCCTGGCGATTTAAAGTCGTAGGAATAGCTGGCAAAGCTGCTGAGGGCTGTGTTGAAAATGCTGGGTGAGAAAAAGCAGTTAATGGTGGCAAGAGACCTTTACACAGACCCCACGTTTCCGGCCAGTGATACCTCTATATTTTTTAATTATTGTACCCCGCTTGCCCAATTCAGAGGCGAGATATCTTGGTTGAGACCTAAGGTAAGTTTTAAGGTATAAAAGGCTGATTTTCACAGAATTGGGCTTTTAGGTAAAAAAATGCAAGTTAACATTGAATGACTGCCTCTGGGTGCTTTTTATTTTTTTTTTTTTATTTTGTTTGTTTGGAAATACAGAAATGATAAAACCAATGTATGTCAGCATTAACAATGCATAAGTTACAGTTTTTAGTCTAGGTGCTTGTTTGTAGGCTTGATTTAAATCCTTTTTTAGACCTTTTAAATTTTGTGGCAGTAGGAGAAGTTCAGATATTTTATTATAAATATATTTCGTTATGCAAATTACATCCATACCAAGTTAGAATGCAGCATTATGTCATTCCCAAATTTTTTGATATATTGCATAATGGTCTTGAAAATAAGTAATTGGATTTTAGAATTTTTTAGAAGCCTGTTGCTAATTTTTTTTGTGGTTGCTTTCTTTGGTAACAAGAAAGAAAACTTTTAAAGTTTATAACTTGTCATATGGCTTGTATTGCTTTTAAACTTATAGCTGGGTTGCAGAGCAAGTTGTATTAGAGCTAAAAGCTTTAGAATGCATTTCTGCACTACACCCATTTAAGGTGAAGTATTTATGATACTGCCTTTGTGTAGAGGGAAAAAAAGGCTATAAAATGTAATGGAGGAAAAAAAGCATGTTGTCTTGAGTTGTATTTTTTCCCCTGTGACTGGGGTTGTCTGTAGAAAAGTGACAGAGCTGTTGGTTATCAGGTGTTGTTGGCAAACAAATGATATCATGGAGTTGTGTGTGGAGCTTCCTGCTTTTGTACTTTACACCTTGATTGCTCTGAGGACTGATGATTTAATTTCCATCTCTTACAGTATTTATATATAAGGAGAACCATTTCACAAACTCACTTTCAGATCAGATTAAGTGTTCAGGACTTTGCATCTGAAATTTCCTCTTGTGCTACCAACTAGTCTATTTTTCTGTGCACTAGGAAAGGTTTCTCCCTTGTTCTAGTTTTGAAAATTTTGTATCTTGGGATGTGCAGTTTAATGTGGATGGGATCAGCACTGTCACAGCTGATCATAAGTCTAGCAAGGAGCTGATGAATTATGTTGTCTTTCACTTCTTACTGTTTTTGCTAAGGTTGCAGCTGATGGTGACAGTTGTGTACTATAATTCATGTGGGAACTAGGTTTGCATTCACGAAGTACCTGCAAAATACCCCCACAAACCATTCATTTGTTACTTCTTACTTAGGCTGCGTATGAAAAGGAAATTTTGTAGAAGTAAAAATTCCCTTATTTTATGAGAGATCTCTGAAGTTGTCCCAGTCCCTGAAACACAGATTTCCTTAGAATGTCATGCAGGATTTGGCTTTAACTCCTCTTCTTTCATTTTAGGACATTTGTTCCTCTCCTCGGTTATTTTCAAACAATCTGCAGGATGTGCAAGTAAAACAAGGAATTTTGGGAGACTGTTGGTTCCTGTGTGCCTGTGTAGCTTTGCAGAAGAGCAAATACTTACTGAACAAGGTATGGAGAAGTTTCACATTAGCGAAGTTTTCCTCACCTGATTGACATTTGTGTATTGTTCTGCAGTTCCAAGCTGCCATATGAGTATTGCCATTGTTACAGATGGTTCATATTCAGTATATTTTAAACTAGTTTTGTTTGCAAAAAAAAATAATTAATTAATTAATTGTTTGCCTTGATTCTGGCTTTTGCCCTGCAGGTAATCCCTCCAGGTCAGCCCAGCTGGACAGATGAGTCCTATCGAGGCTGCTTCACGTGCCGGGTCTGGCAATTTGGCCACTGGGTAGAAGTGACCATTGATGATCGCCTGCCTTGTCTTGGGGGCAAACTCTGCTTTTCCCAGTGTCAGACAGAGGATTTGTTTTGGCTTCCACTACTGGAAAAAGCTTATGCAAAGTATGTGAACACTGCTATTGATGGAAATAGAGCTACAACACTTGTGTATTTCTTCTGCTTGCTTATTCTACCCAGCTGCTTTGGGCATAGATCTGAGCATTGTGACTGCTGGTGGTCCCATCCTGGCTTGTGCAGAAGTTGGTCTTTAAACTGTAGGTCTGTAAGGTGTGCTTCCAGTTGCATATGAAGTACAATAGTCTTAAAGAGATAATTCTGGTGAAATGTAAGCTGCAATGAGTTTTCAGGATTCAAATGATGTTTGTTAAGTTTCTGTCTGTTAGTTATCTAATTTGTTAAAGGGAGATGTTTTACTAGGGAAAATGAGAGCTCAATGAAAAGCAGAAAGCATTGGAGATACTTTCATGGAAAGCATTGAGTTTGTGCTGGCTGAGGCTCTTGTGTGAGTTTCACTGCTCTTTTGTATAATTGTGAGTTTACTGTTTTAGAAAGAAAATGCAGCTATTTAGTAGTTTATGGCACATCAACAGAAAAGCTGTCTAGATAGATAAAGCAATTTGGAGGCAAAATGCACCAGTAGGATAGACATCAAATGTCCCAAAGACTCTGAGCAGAAGATTTTGTGGTTGCCAGCAGAGGGCAGAGGCAGACTTCAGTTATGAAGTAACTTACTCAGCTGTAGATTGAGCAGAAGCTGTGAAGCACTAATGTCATGTTAAAGCTTCTCTGTAGGTTTGGAATGTTATACTTGTTGTCTGCAGAGCTTATTGTTCAATCTTATAATTCTATTCTAGTCTTGACTTCTTTTGCTCGATTTTTCCATCTGCTACATCAGATGGGGCAATCTCTTGGTTTGCTTAGGTTGTTGAAGGAAGTGCTGCTCTGTTATTTGTGCAGAAAATAAATAATAATTGAAGAGGAAGAAGCATTTTTATTTATACAGAATGCAGTTAGTATATCACAAAAGATAATGTTGAGCATGGATCATAAGGTACAAATGACTAGTACTAGACAACAGTAGTTTTTTAGATAGAATAGAGAGACTGTAAGAAGCAGTAGAATCCCATCCAGCAGTGGAATAGCCAATGGTTTACATATTCTTTAGATGTTGTGTTCTATATAAATAAGATAGTATGTGCTTTCTCTTGCCTACTTTGGGTTATGAGGTAGGACACAGTCATGATTGTGATATAGAGTGGGGTTCCAAGTGTGTAGCAACTGTGTTTCTGTTGTGCTGTGTATACAAACTTTTTCTTTGTTTTTTTCCTAATTTTTTTGTTTAAATTTTTTAGAGTGCATGGATCTTATGAGCAGTTGTGGGCAGGACAGGTGGCAGATGCTTTGGTTGATCTGACTGGAGGAATTGCTGAAAGATGGACCCTGAAAGGCCCTGGAAAAAATGTGGAGAAAGAGAAGACTGGCATGGTTTTGGAGAAAGCAGTGTTTAGAAGATTAATGAATCTGAAGGAACAGTGTGTAATAAGCTGTTCAGTCCTCAACTCCAGACAAGGTGATAGCAAATGTCTCTATTAACAGGCTTCAAAGCACAAGGCAGCCAGCAAATACAAGTGCTGATTCTAGTACCTTGCCAGTTTCATGGTACAGTTTGAAATATTTGGATAAATGAACATTTAAGGATGTTACTGAGTTTAGGATGGGGGCTGCTTTTGGAGGAGTGCTTTTTGTATTAGAAGCTAATGTAGTCAATTCTCAAAAACAAATACATTCCCCCCAAAATGCACTCCCTTGAAAAGGCATCTCAAAAACAACCTTGAAAACCTCAATTAATTTTAGCACAGTGAATTTGTAGGGATTTGAGATTAAGGAGCAAGTTAATATATTTTGCAATGTTACTTTATTTCTTTATAGTCACTAAAATGAACTCTTTGGGGTTTCTTTGTGCTGTTCTAATACAGATTTAAAACCAATTTCATTTTACTGCAAAATTGCCTTCTTTCACTAATGTTATTGTAAAATATGGAACAGATTCTTTTGTTTATTTTCAAATGGTGGTGGTTTTTTTTCTATTCAGGTGCAAGTGAACTAGGAGAATTTCATGCCTTTATTGTGATAGATACATTGAATCTCTCTGAAGTGTCAGGCAAGGAAATCTTCCTGCTACGAATACGAAATCCTTGGGGGAGGCGGTGCTGGAAAGGGCCTTGGTGTGAAGGGTGAGCAGTTTTATATTCATTTGGAAAACCATTTGTGTAAGTTCTGAAGCACAAAGCTTATCTATGTATTGCATTGGCAAACACTGCTAATAACCTCTAGCAGAGGAGGGAGGCTTCAGTATGTGTGCAGTTCTGTAGAGAGCTGGGAGTTCACACATCTCATTGGTTTTGAGGCTAGTAAATTTGAACTCCTAGTTCTCACAATCTAAATTTTTATATAACTTTTTTGTTTATCAAATCATCATATCTTTTTATAGAGACAAACATAAGATGTTGGCTA